TAGACTTTACCTCGAACTCGCATTTCTTGATGTCTACGTAGAGGCCTGCGTCCTGTAGCTTGCCAAGGACTTTTCAGACGTGATCTTAGTGTTGTTGCAGGTTGCCATCCGTGTAGATTAACACGTCGTCAAGGTAAGCTAAGCAGAAATCGTTAAGGTGTTCCCTTAATGTCCAGTTAATATACCGCTAAAAGGTGCTTAGGGAATTAGCTATGCCAAACGGAGTCACTAACTACTCGAAAAGACCGAAGCGCGTTCGGAAGGCTGTTTTCCATTCGTCTCCTTCCGCTATACGGATCTTGTGGAAGGCTGCGATCACGTCTAGTTTCGTAAACCACTTCGCCTTGCTTAGGTTGTTAAGCGTCTCTCGGATAAGTAGCAGCGGGTATCTGTCCTTCTTGGTAATCGCGTTTAACGCTCAGTAGTCAATACAGAGGCGTAACCCTCCTCCTAGCTTTTTCGCGAATAGTACTAGAGCTAAGGCTAGCGAGCTACTTACGCGTATGAACCCCTTCTCTAACAAAGACGTAAGTTCCTTTTAGAGTACTAGGAGCTCGCCTCTTAACATGCCGTACAGTAGGCCCTACGGCGGCTGGGGCTATTAACCGTTTTTCGTTTCGAGCTCAATTCAGTAGTCTACTCCTGGCCCTCTATAAGGAAGGAGCTTCGCAGCTTCTTTTAGGTTAAAGAGCTCGTAATAGCTCTGATAGTGTTTCAGTAACAATACTCTTACGTCTACTAATTTCTTTAGTGCTAGCGCCTTATTAATGTCTGCGATAGAGGCAGCGAATATTCGCACTTTAGCCTCTAGATCTCTGGATTTCCTTAGGAGACTCGCGAACGTAGCTGCGTTTACTTGTTAGGATGCGTTCCTGTTAACAACGCCTTCGTTACACCTTACCTAAATGCCCTTTAAGTAGATAAATAAGCTCCTTTTAGCTAGAGCTATCGTCACGTCTAGGTAGTCCATCTACCCTTTGCCTAGGACGACGTCTTCGTCTATGTAGTTAATCACATATGCGTAGGCGACCTCTCAGTAGCCGTGCATATCAAACTCAAATCGAGAGACCTTATTAATCTTCGACAACTTCCCGTTAATTCCTTCGATCAGCTAGGGGGCGACCAAGAAGCGCTTAAGGCGGCTTCGGCGAGCGAACTTCCTACTAACTAGTGCGTAGCACAGACAACCGCTGTCTATTAACGCGGTTGCGTTATTCACCGTATTCACGATTAGGTGTGCCGTAAGCGGTTTCGTGTTTATGTGCTTTTGTTAAAACTAGTTCTATTCGCTACGTGTTCGCCGATCCATCTTTAGTAGCTCTGAGCCGAGACTCTAGTTTAGAGCTACTCTTTTTCCGAGTCTTCCGAATTGCTACTATCCTCGGTCTCCGCATGACACCTACAGGTAGGCGAAGGCTCGCGCTAAGCTGCTCTGCTCACCTTAGTGTTCCTTAGCTTAACACCCTTCCCACAGTGCCTAGCTATATGTCCTTTCTTACCACACAAGTAGCACTCTATCTGATTACTGTTCAGTTTCCTGTCTCTCGTGCTTGCCTTACTAACTTTCGTTGGCTCCTAGTCCATGTTCTCGGGCGGAGAAGGAGTTCTCGTACTGTTTCGGTTAACTTGTTGGTAGGAGTTATAGTTATAGTAAGCGCTGAACTCCTTTTAACTACGAGTAGCCATATTTACTTAGTACAGGTTGTCCGAGACACGAGTCGCTTCACGTGCGAATTCTTCGAACGATAGGTCCTCCCTTGCGAGGATTAAGGCCTTCTGAACCTCTACGCTTAATCCTTTAGAGAACATACTCTTCTTCTGCGCATCGCTAATCCGCACCTCTGCCTGGAGTTCTAATCGATTAAACTCCATGTGGTAATCTCGAATTGAACGTTTTCCTTGTCGCAGGTTCGAGAGTTGGTCTAGTGCTTTAGCTTTTAGGTGCGGGTCGTCGTACTGCTGGTTGAGGAAACTCCACAAGTCCTTAATAGAGCCGTATTCTTGGTGCTGTTCTGCCTAGGGGAGGATAACGTCTGAAGCTCGTTTAGAACAACGGCTAACTACGTATGCGATCTTTATCCTGTTAGGTGTACCCTAGTAGTCGTTGTACAGCTTCGCCTTAGTCTTGTATCTAAAGGCAGAGTACTTAGACCTGTCCCCGTTGAACAGCTCTGGATGAGGGTACTTCGTCCTCGTGGTGTGTTCCGTTAGCGGTGTTCCTAGCCCTAATTGGCTCTCAGACGACTGCGGGGTTGATTGGGAACCCTGTTGTTCTAAGGCTTCTAACCGAGCGGTTATTGGGGTGAGTAGTTGGACTAGTTGGGCTATTATCTCGGCCGTAGCATTCTGAGGGGTCTTCGGTGAGCTCCTAGGTGACCCTTTCTTTCCCGCTACGCTTTTTACTCTCCGCGCAATCTCGTTAATCATTGGCGTTATCGCAGCTTCTTTCCATCCGTCATTCCTAAGCATCTGAGCGATACTCTGCTCTATTTCATCGCCTGGTACTCCGGCAAGGTGCTTAGCTGACGCGTAGGCAGACAGCTCCTCCGCGTTGAGGTTGGGCAAGTTGTCCTCCATGTTCTGATTCCTTATTAGAGGGCTCGTTTCTGTATGTGCCTGCTTCTCGTGCAGGGCTTCCCGATCAGTATTCTCTCCTTCGATCGCTCTAGTCTAGTAGCTAAGCTTCTCGTAAGCTTCCGCGTCGTGGCCTACTCCTCTACGGTAAGGACTAGTAGGGCTTCCGTGGCCTGTCACTGTACAGGGCTTCTATAGCTTGCTCTTAATAGCAAGGCTTATCTAAACGGCTTTCAATTGCCGTTGTGGTCGCGACTTTTAGTAGTTCCTTTAACCTTACGCTCGCGATCTCGTACTAGTCGGTACTTTGACTTAGTATCGCGGCCTATGCCCCGTTCAATAGAGGACCGATAGGACTTCTAACGACAGCTCGCTTCTTAGCTGCAATTTAGCTGTTGCGCAGGGTCGTTGCCTATTCCTCAATCCTTAGAGGACTAACAGGGCTTCAACTGCAATCGCTCACCTTCTTGCGAAGGTCTTTTGCAGACAGCAGGACCTACACCTCTGTACTGTCGAGGTATCGCGTAGGGCTTTTACTAAACGGTACTCCGCGCGCAACTAGGATCTACTAGCTACACTATACACGTTCACCGCTGGACGTCACGCGAGGCCAGTAGCGCGTTAACTGAGCGTCCTACGAAGCTGCAGTCCTAGGCTAGCAATCTTGCAATAGCTTATGCCTAGTTGTTGTTTGAAGGCCTTTCGTGCCTTCGTACAACACCAATCCCATGCAGCAGATTAACCTACTCGCACGTAACAGAAGAGGCAGTCAAGAAGCTTAACGCGCGTCGCGTTAACAGAGTCTTAAAGCAAGGCTCTGTTAATTGGGATCGAATACAAAATGTAAGGGGCTACGCTCAGGGAGCTATCGCACAGGTATACTGGAGTTGTATTCAATAGAGAAGAGAACTACAGGTAGCTAGGGTTCTAAAGGTCGTTCAGGGGGCGGCAGCTCGGGATAACCTTCTGCCGGGCTCGCTTACGCAGAATCCGGGTGCTCAGGGGGGGCACCCGGAATCTGTGGACAGTGCGCCTCGCGCACGTGACCGAGATATCATCGAGGACTCACCAACTGGGCTCCAGCCCATCACATTAAGGCTAAGTATAGGATCTTAGACGAAGACGTCTATAATTTTAATAAGACTAGCTTCTAGATAGGCATTAGAGGGTCTGTCAAAGTAGTAACAGCCTCTAAGAGACGCCTTAAGCTACTTAGAGTTCAACCTAGCGATCGTGAGTAGGTAACGTTAATTGCTAGCATTAACGCGATAGGGTAGTTAATTCCACTATTCCTTATCCTTAAAGCAAAGCACTACAACTAGGCCTAGTATTATAATAACCTAAAAGATTAGAGGATAAGTGTTAGTAACAACGGTTGGACAACGAACGAGCTTAGTCTAGCCTGGTTACAGCACTTTATCTAGCATACAGAAGCTCGAACAGTAGGTAGTCACCGCCTACTTATCCTTAATAGCTACGAGAGCTATAAGTTACTCGCTTTCCAGGATCTGTGTGAGCAAAGCAATATTATCACTCTCTGCATGCCTCTACACTTATCGCACATCCTACAGCCACTTAATGTGGGTTGTTTTGCCCCGCTAAAGCAGGCGTACAAGAAGGAACTTAGGGGCTTGGCAGACAGCTACATCTACTACATCGACAAGAAAGCCTTCCTAGCTGCCTTCAAGCTAATATTTAACAAGGCGTTCTTAAAGAACAATATCTTATTAAGCTTTTAAGCAACTGGCTTAGTCCTACATAACCTAGATGTGGTGTTATCTAGGCTTGAAGTACAGCCTCGTACGCCAACACTACCTGCACTAGGGCCTACCCCTTAGCAACCTAAAACACTAAGCAACGCCTGGGAGATAGAGGCTTAAACGACGCTGCTTGTCAAGAGGATAATAGACTACAAGGAATTATTACCTAATTCTATTATTAAGATAGTGCTGCAGGTCAAAAAGGGATCAACTTTGAAGGTGCACTTACACACGTTGCTTGAGGCTAGAATAGCCAACCTTAAGGAGGCAAACCAGGCAGCATCTGAACGTAAAAAGCGCAAGAAAAAGCGAATCCAGAAGGGAGGAACCCTATCGCAGGCAGAGGCAGAGGATATAGTTGAGCAAAGGGATGTTGAGATCTAGTTAGAGGTGGAGAGGCGTCAGGGGGAGGGTGGGGCAGGTGGTAGTGCAGGAGGTATTCGACGCTGCAAGAACTGCGGCGAGGCAGGACATAACAAGCGCACATGCAAGAAAGATGCAGTAGAAGTAGAGGATTAATTCTAGCTATTGTACGCCTTTATTGCATGTTGTGGTGGAGTGTTATTAATGTGCAAAGGTAGTTTTATGTAGAGGTGCGCCATTTTAGTGGTGTGCGCCATTCAGCGGTGGGCACGTTATCATTCTTTAGGCTACTGCAAATCGTATTCAATCCTTATACGGCGGGTGAGCGATACCTTCTTTAAGTGCTTTCAGCCGCAACGCAAGCAGCTTGGATACGTAACGAGTCATAGGTAGGAAGCCAACCATGATCCAGAGATTCGGCACACCAGACTCCCTGAACGCCGTCTTGGCTTCTCCTTCCTCATCCACGCCCCAGATAGGTCCGACTCTGCTCGCGATCTCATCTCCAAGTGTCCGACGGATAGATTCGATGGTGTTTGTGTAACCAGTCGCAAAGACAACCAGATCGAACTCTTTCTCTCGACCCCCACTCAGGACCACCTTGTCCTCCGTGAAGTGATCGATATAGCCCTGCTCAACCTTGATCTTGCCGTCTATGATCTCCTTGCAAGCGCCTGCGTCGAAGTAGAACCCGCCATTGCGAGTCTGGCCTAGCGTCGCATTCCCTGTATTGCGCTGACCTCGCCATGTTCGCAAGCCTTTAGCATTTAAACCATCAAGTAGCGGCTTATCGAGGTCCTCCAAGACCTTTGCATTGCGCCTACCAAGCTCTTCACCAGGACCGCAGGGTGTTGCGAAGAATAGCCGGTCCTGCTCCTCCAGTTTCGGGATATCGCGGGTCCTACTATCCGGAGCTTAGCCTCCTAGGATGCGCGGTACGGAATGGGTAAGAGACATGACATAGGTCGGGGATCGCTGAAGGATGGTAACGTCGATGCCGCGGCGAGAGCAGTCATAAGCCGTATCGAACGCAGAGGATGATGTTCCAACGACACAGACTTTCTTGAAACCTCGAGAGCTGTCGTGAGCGCTGGAGTGCCGGATCGTGCCTTTGAACCTATCCATGCCAGGGACATCCGGTATCGAGGGCAGACCACAGAGCGAGGTAGCCATGACCAGCTGCTTGGGGTGAAGTACCCGGGTGTCTTTGCCTTCCTTGTTCACAGTAACGGTCCAGCGGCCTTGCTCATCTTGCTTGGCGTCGGTGACGGTGGACTTGGTCCAGACGTTCAGGTCAAGTGCCGAAGCGTACCACTGCATGTAGAGGCCCTGCTTTTGAGCTGGGGTATAGGTTGGCCAGCCCTTGGGGTACGGAAAGTACGGCAGCGCATCAGGCCAGTGAGGGAAATGTAGAGAGAGGTATTCGTAACGCTTCCGCCAGATATCACCGATCTCGTCGCTTTTCTCGATGATCAAATTGTCCATGCCGAGGGCCTTGAGTCGTGCTGCCATGGCTAAACCACTGTGATACCCGGATTAGTAAATGGGATTTAGGTCATGATGTTACCACGACCTGTGCACGGCCGCGTATAGGATGGGAAGATGAGAGTGGGAGGGATGGGAGAACCTGGAAACCGTGCTAGGATGCTTACTTTTGTCCGCCACCAATGATGAGAACCTCAGGGTCAGCGGCATCAACGTCCAGTGCTCTCTGCTTCTCCCAACTTATCAAACCAGTCATGTGCCCATCCTCAGGGGAAACTTCAGGATGATCGATGAGATCCTCGGCAACCGTGTGCATTGTGTAGATCTTCCATCCATCATTCTTGGTCAGAACGGAATTGATGACCGCGGAAGCGACTACGGTATCTGTCTCGAAGGATACGACAAATTGCAGGTGGGCAATGTCGGGATATGGTCGAGCAATCTTTGGCGCAGGTCTAAGGAAGTGGAAGTTCCTCGCTCGGGTATGGGGGAATAGATCGGTCGCAGCTTTCAGGATTGCTGGTCGCCAATTGAATGTGCGGAAATCCCATGTGAATGACAGCTTGTCGCGCCACACGCCTGTGAAAGAGAAGAGTGGATGTCAGTCATAGCTCGAATGCACGCCACGCACATTCTCGAGCAGTGCGTCGGCAAGATGCAAGATGTAGGAAGACTCACCATAGTCGAGGAATAGGTCGGCAAAAGCGTGGGCGTCTCCCTTTCTCATGGCATTGGAGAGTCTCTCCACAATACCCTCTGCCTCGGTTTGAGCATTACAATCGGCGGGTATATCAATGCCTAGTAGATCGGTCGTGGGGAGGGGATGATTGTATTTGAAGTCGTACATGAAATCATCGGCTACGGGAGGCTTTGGCACCTCATGTTTACCGATGACGATGTCGGACTTGAAATCGGGCGCGGGCATGGTGTCGATGGAACCCATTGTTTCGTCTCGCGCTATGGATCTGTCGTGTTAAGCGGCGTAAATGGAAAGACAAAAGGTCGACAGTGAACTTGATGCTGCCAATTACCGTTGACGGCATTTCGGCGTCAAGGCAGGCTCTTATAAACTTGGGACTGTCACATAGAGGCGCCCTTCGCGATAACAAGATTGTCTAGCATTGCCTGAAGTGACGCGCTCCGGCGGAAAACACGCGTCTCTCCCCCTACAGTTTGGCGTGCCTGTGAGTGGAGTTCGAATTCCGGCGGTTGGTTCTCCACGGCTAAGAGGGACCAAGACATGGAAGACCAGCGACAAGAACGGCAGGTCTGGCCATTCGCATAACCCATTCATTCTGCACTCCGCTCTTCTCGACGTTGTTAGTGCTGGAAAGGCGGGATGGCGGAACGTGGGGTACCGCCGAATGGAGTGGAAGGAAACAGCGCTTTACCTGAAATGGCAACTTTCGGCGGATGTATCAACTAAAGATTCCTGCCAGGAACTCACCGTCCGTAGATGCCGTTCCCCGAAGGGTGGGTCGCCTTGTTCAAGTCCTCAGGAAGATTGACATCCGATGATACTGCAGGAATGCAACGTGGCTGGGTATACCCAGAAATCTCTGCTTCCCATAACCGCCGGCTTGCGATTGGAAGGGGCCGCACGGTCCGCGCACTCAGAAGAATCGCGCATCTAGTGGTGAGCTAGCATACCCAAGAGACGAAATTGCATCAGTATCTTCTCGGAGCACCTCCCCTCGGTGATACGGATGATCCTTGTTCGTTCGATTAGTAAAGATGGTCGTTGTAATGGATGTGATCTTCATCAAGATTCATACCTACCACTAACGAGTGTACGCAGTGATGTGGGTAGTGGGCTTCCCTCATTATCTTAAATTTAACATTCAGCTTCAGCTGAGTTGTTCACTACGTACAATACGCGTCAATTGATTCCATGTCCCGGATAGTCACTCAAATCCAAGCAAAGTTACTATAGTGACAGCAACCGTATAACTCGATGTAGTAGACATCCACCGCTCATGTGCTGAACTGTCTCTAGAAGGATCAGGCGATCCTTTTATCATTTGTTATATAGGTACGGAGACGGCTCACTTGCTGTGTTTAGAAGTATATTTGCTACGAAATGGTCGTCTTTTCTTTTGTACAACAGGAACGGTTCGAATTTAAAATTCGCACACCTCTTACTGGCTTCACGCCAAGAAGCAATGACTTGACCAGCATGATCCCTCTGACCCACAAACTGGGTCTTACACTATCCCGTGATCAGCCCCGACTCCTCGGCGCACGCGGGTCTCAAGAATTTCCCTCTCTTCTTGGGCGGCACCATCCCCAAAGACAAAGTCCATCTGCTCCAAAGTCTTGCCCATCGTCTCGGGAACCAGAAAGTATGCCCATATAGACGCTAGAAAGCACATAGACCCATAGAAAACATACATGCCAAACCCGATGCTCTCGAGCATAGGTGGAGTAGCGACACCAACAGTAAAGTTGCAGAGCCAGTTTACACACACCGCGAGGGCGACACCCTTAGCTCGAGAGCTACCCGTATACACCTCCGCTGGCAAGACCCAACCAAGACAAGAGTAGGACATTCCAAAGACCAGAATGAATATAAACGCCATAGCCACGGCTGCCCATCCTGCCGAAGTGTTGGCAGACCAGTCATCCGAGTAGAGTCCAGTCAACACCGCCATGATCCCCCAGGTGATGGCGCCGCCAAGAGCACCAAAGATAGCCAAGGGTCTGCGGCCGACGTGGTCGATGATGACGAAGCAGAGAGCTACACCTACTAGCTGCAGGATGTTGAAGATGCCAGACATAGTAAGCGCCATCTCCGGATCTTGACCAAGAGAGGCGAACAAAGTGGGGGCGTAGTAAATGAAGCCATTGACCCCAGAAAACTGCTGGAAGAAGGTGGCTCCAACAGCCACGGCTGTGCGGCGCCATGTCTTCTTCTTGAGTAGGTCCAGCCAGCCGAGTATCTCCAGCTTGAAACCAGAAACCCCTGGGTGGTGCTTCTCCTGCAGCGACTTCTCGACCTCTACCTCAGTGAGAATAGCATTGAACTCAGCCTGCACGCGAGGATCCGTCTCAGGAAGGCCCCGGAGGCGCCTTAGGCTTTGTAGGCATTCTTCTTTACGACCAACGAGGGCAAGCCATCGAGGAGAAAACGGGTAGAAAAGAAGTCCGACGCCGAGGAATGTAGCGCTGACCATCTGTAGGCCAAAAGGGAGTCGAAAAGATGCCTCGCTGGCGATATGACGCGTGCCGTATGTGGTATAGAAGGAGATGACGACGCCGGATACGATACAGATTGATTCCAACACTAACAGTGTACCTCGAAGATTCGGTGGAGAGAGTTCTGATATGTAGATGGGTGCGCCCTGTTTCCCAACACGTTCAGGTTAGAATTGTGGCCCTCTAGAGTAGCGGAAGATAAGGAGCGACACTTACCATTGCTAGTGTTCCCACACCAATGCCACCAATAGTTCTCCCAGCAACTAACACCCCGTAATTTGGAGCAGCCGTCTGCATGATAGCACCGATGTTGAAAATGACGACGGCGACGGTCAAGGCCCACTTGCGAGAAATCCTATCGGCTAGCGCCGGCATGAAGAGACATCCAATAAAGGCACCGAGTTCCAGCATGCCAGTCATGAAACTTTTGCCGAACGGAGTCTCTGTCTTAGGGAATACGGCGTGGAATTGTGGCATTACGTTGATGATGGAGATGACTCCTTGGTCGTAGCCAAAGGAAAAGCCACCTAGTGACGCCAGGCAAGCTGCACCAAAGACGTAAGGTGATCCAATAAGTCCCGGAATGCCATTCTTTCCGTATGAGATATCGGCGCCATTGACATCCACGATTGGGTTCTCCTCGAGGTTCTCTACCTTGGCAACGTCGGCATCTGCTTTCGACAGCTCATCGTAGTGGTCGCTCTTCTCCATAATGAAGTAGTAGATAAGGAACAAGAAGCGAGAGATTGCTGGAATGAGTTGGCGACGGAGAGGGAAATTGCGGAGAGAAATGACGAGCTTTATAAGAACCTCGCGATAGAACAGGTAAGCCTCGAAACGAGAAAAAACTTGGAAACTAAAAGCCCCGAGGTTTTAGTATCACCGACCCCATGGGGCGTGAATGTGTACGGGGTAAAGAACAGGACGCGCATGAATGGGAGTCTAAGATCGAGTCATTGCATGAAGGATTGCATTGGCCAGAACCCCACATTCGATGGCGCCCGGTCTCTAAGGCTATAACGCTCTGGGGTTGATCTCTGTCTGCGAACGGACAGCATTCGAGCTAGTCGTTTGTTGGTCGCAGTCGTGCATAATCTGGGGATTACCACGAAGAAAGACAGCGCCACCGGCCAGAATATCCCGATTCGTAAATATTCGGCGACCCGACCAACTTATGCTGCTTACGCGGCCGACAGAGGAGAAGCCGCATTGCGGGGGAAGCGCCACGTGTTTAGTAATCCAAATGAACCGAAGGTAAATGGCACCATGGTAACCTAGACATCTTTGACATTATGTCATGGTGTATAAAATAGTAGTCACACTTCTTCACAGGGCAGGTATTGCTGTTTTCAGACCAAAGTCCAATTCTTGTTCGGCGGAACATTTGATGTGGGCCCGTCCTCTCGGCATAGATTGCATGCAGGAATTTCGGCGAACATGAGGCTAACTACTAAGTTCTCGTCCTTCGAGTTTGTATGATTTTCCTACATAAACGCGGCAAGAACAACGTGAATGTTAAGCACATCCAATCTATTAGGTTGCTACAATCTGAGATTTATCACGGAAACTTTGCGTGTTCCATCAAGAGCGTGAGCCCTCCATTCGTTTCAAGGATCCAAAGGCCAGACGAAGGATACAGCCTCCATCTCGCAAAACACGACCACAATCACAATGGCTCCTGTAGCTTCTCACTTCAAGCTCAACACAGGAACGACCATTCCTGCTGTTGGTCTGGGTAAGTTTGATGTTAGACAAAGGAGAAGAAATGGATGGGAAGGCTAATCGTAATCGTGAAGGTACCTGGAGGTCGGAGCCAGGCGAGGTCCGCGATGCAGTATCTTTCGCCCTGAAGCAGGGTTACCGTCACATCGACGCAGCTTTGTAGGTGTGATAACGGCCCTATCCACTCCAACAGTGTTGAACATTGCGCTTACTAGTTGCGAAATAGAATCTATGGTACGGTCCATTGCGAAAAGTTCGAACTACGATTCAGAGACTAACACGGATCCTTTCTTCAGGCAACGAACATGAGGTTGGCCAAGGTATCAAGGGCAGTGGCGTGCCTCGTGAGGAGATATTCTTGACGAGCAAACTCTGGAACACCCATCAGCCCAACGTTAAGGAGGGTCTTCAGAAATCACTAGACGCCTTGGGCACAGACTACCTCGACCTTTACGTACGTGACAAGCTGGCATCGCGATGGATGTACAGAAGGATGATGATCTAACACTTCGATAGCTCATTCACTGGCCGGTACGTCTGGTTCCTGTAAGTGCGAATCCTGCCCTCTATTGGTTTACCTTGTAGCAAACAATTAACACGGGACCACCGCTATAGAACGAATCGAGCGAGCTTCTCCCCGTCAATCCTGACGGCACACGATCTGTTGACCGAGAGTGGGACCAAAGTGAGACTTGGCGCCAGATGGAAGAGGTTTACAAGTCTGGCAAAGTCAAGGCTATTGGAGTTGCCAACTGGTCGATTCCTTACCTGGAGAAATTGAGCAAGACTTGGAATGTCGTCCCCGCAGTCAACCAAGTGGAGCTACACCCTTTTCTGCCCCAACACAAGCTCCGAGACTTCTGTGCAAAGCACAATATATTGCTAGAGGCCTATTCGCCTCTTGGGTCAGCGGGTAAGTGGAAGATCTTCCACGTAATACGATTCGACTTGGCTGTTGCTGACCTCATCCCTCCATCTTAGGCGCACCTATCCTGTCCGATGAAAGCATCCAGAATGTTGCAAAGAAATACGATGTGTCCCCTGCTACGATTCTGATCAGTTACCACGTCAACGAGGGAGTGGTTGTTTTGCCAAAGTCTGTACATGAGAAGAGGATCGTTAGCAACAAGACAGTCATTGAGTTGTCCGATGAAGATATGGCGCTGCTGGATAATCTGGCTGCCAATGGCAAGGCAAAGCGCATCAACACGCCGATGTGGGGCTGGGATCTCGGATTTGATGACTGGTATGGTCCTCTCGCAAGTTCTCGCTAGATGGGCTACAGTAGAATTGCCACAAGGAAATATAAACGGCACTGTCTGCTAAAGTTGTACGACCCTATTTTGAAAGGTTCGCTTTCCCTTTTGTCACTACCTCCACGTGACCCGTATCGCTATGGTAACCATTTCGAACATCGCGTCAGAAGCATGGCACAAGAAGAGGTGATTGATGTTCTCGTGAGGCATATGCGCACTATGTACGTATCTCACCTTGGGTCGCACCCCCAGCCCCATCGCTAAGCGCATTCACAGCGTGACTGATATTCCAAGCGAAATCGTTCCTGAGCTTGTTGAGGATCGACATCAAAGCTGCGCGCTCCCTAGAATCGCGTACGTACTTGCCGCACATGGAAATCGCCACAGCAGCGCCCGTAAGGGCCTCATGTCGATCTGAGTGGCATGCCGCAAGTCCACAGATAGTTCTCATGGAATGCAAGAAAAGCGCCTCGGAAGCCTGGGAGGCGAGCTCACCGCCCCCTAGCCTCCGATTCTGCAGCTGTGCCTCGTGGCTAGCTAGCATCATCCGCCCGAACTCGATGTGTTGGAGAGCCATGACTTGGCATGGGTTGGCCAACCACAACTCGGGGAAATAGCGTCCCTGTTCTGGCGCGTTTTCCCGGAAATAGAGGGGCTGGAAGCAGGGAGGTGGTCGCGTGTCCCAATCGAACTCGAAAGCCTTAAGCGCGCCCCACAGCTCCGATGCGCTCGCGTAGCCGTCATCGCTCACCTCGAACCCATCGCTACCGAAATGAAGCTTTAGTACGTGTGCGCACCATACGAGGACTCTTCTGGTCCATAGATAATCGTCATCCACCTCGCCATCGTCGACATGTCGGCAGTCCTTGAACGATGGGAGTGGCAATCTCATGGGACGCTGATACAGCAGCACAGCCCAAATCTCCATCCGAAGGGCTACTAGGAATGCGGCAATATTCGCCGACAGATGGCTTGGTTGAAAGATGGGAAGGGAGGTGAAAAGGCTGGGTAAAACCTGTCCCAACCCGCGGCCTTGGGCGAACTGCGTCTCAAAGTTATGTTGAACCGCTCGCTGAAAGACTTCAAAGTCCGACCCGGTCATCAAAACTAGATACGCTGGGTTAGATTATGATGTCTTGTTCGAAGAGTCGATGCAGGTAGCCAGATGGAAAGGCAAGAGAGGTGGGTATGCATGCTCTTACCATCGTTTTGTTCGTGGAATCGGAGGATGGTAATCGCTGATAGTATGTCGCCGTCTGCGTTCCCCTCTGGGTCGGCAGAAGCATCAATTAGAAGATTAATGCAAGTGCTCTGGTACTGTATCACTGACTCCTCCGTGAGATGTGGGAGCTTTGTCCCTTGAAACTCGATAACACCCGGTGACGATGACTTCGTGGACATGCGTAGTAGGTATTGAGCTGAGATTCCGCAGATAGCGTTGAGGACTAAGGAATTCTTCAAAGCCCGCAAAGGAAGATGTGTAGCGAAATGGCCGGTTCTGTCCGTGGTATCGAACTACGTAGTAACAATTAAAAATCCACGCCTAGAATCCCTTCATGAGTTTGATCACTTACTGTTGTGGCCAAATCTTGTGCGAAACAACGAATGAGGCATGCTTCTTGTGGACCCAGTGCCCCGGGCGTTGTAGGAGGATTAGGCGTGTCCTGGAAGTTCCAGGATGGAAGCAACATTGGCCCCAGGTCGGCTGCAATGACCTCGCCTCTATCCGAATCTCCGGAATAGCTAGGCATGCTTGGAGATGGTCCAAAACTATCCGAGCCCTCGTCAAGCAAGGCTGTCTGTCCTCCATCGTACGGTAGGCGGTCTCGGGCCATAGTCCTCGGAGGAGCATCCCGCTTTCTGCCGCCAGTCGATTGGGATTGGGACAGCGGCGAGTCTCCTGAAAAGGATCTTCGAATCGGACTTGTGCCCACGGGTGGAAGCCCGTTTGTATCCCGCCGGCCGCCTGAGTGGGGCGGCGAACAGTACGCAAGAGGTGGCACAGAGTTTGAACCCAATATAGGGACAGCGAACGTGGGAAAGACGTCACGAGCATGATTCGGCGAAGGTGAAGGTCTTTTCTCGGGTCCAGCCCTCTTTGTCGGTGGCGTATACACCCTAAGACGTAGAGATCGATTGCCAGGCTTGCACTCGACACCCGCTTTCTGGCAACATGCGCAAGGACATTCACCGTCGCCTGGCAAGCCGGCGGATCATGATTAGACAGGACTCATCAATAAGACGTGCTGGGTACGACACGAGACGTACATTTTAGATGTTTCACTTCCACGTGGTTATCGTCAGCACGTTGAATATCACAGGAACCCGCCTAGTCTCCACTAACACTTGCATTGCTCGCATGGTCTAGTTCTCGGCCGGCGTTGCGCGGGCATGATAAGCACGTGAGCGTTCACGATTAAGGCGTTTGGGAAAGGGTGGTGAAAGACGGAGAGTATAGTTGCTTGTGGGGGAAGTCGCCTGCTTCGGAGATCTTCGTCCTCAGTCGGCGAAAATAGCCAGATCGGGAATAGCGCATCTCCACACTAGACGCGGGGCCCCGAAAATCCTAGGTCTGGAGCCGCATCATGCCCCTACCGGAGTCCTGGAATCGGACAGCTCTCGAATGGATTCTATCCACCGTGTCGCACATGCTCCACCGATTCTTGTACTGGGTTGCCAACGGGGAGCGATTCGCCGAAATGCTAAGTTAGTCTCGCACCGAATATATAGGGTTCGAGCAAGAGCGTTCTGGAGCGAGATTCGTGTTGAGGGTAAATTTCTTGAGAATATCCGACTTGATCTACTTTTTCATTTTATCCTCTTGCGCAGGTTCAACGTATTCTTCTTGCTTTTCTTCTCCACCGTCGTTGTTGACGCAAACCCTGTCGTCCTTACCGTCCGAGCACCAACGCCACACACATCGTCACAATGGCTGCCATCCCTCGTCTAAAGTTCGCCCTTTTCGGCTTGGGCCGATTGGGTGTTATTCGAGCCCGGATCCTAGCCTACGAGCAACCTCTAGTCGAGCTGGTCGCTGTTTGCGACACCAAGTCTGGCACCGATGCTTGGGCTACGCAAAACCTGCCGTCGACCGTTAAGCACTTCACAGATCCAGAAGAGTGCCTGAAGCACAGCGGAGCACAGGCTATCTTGATTTGCACAGCGACAGCTACACATGCTCCTTTAGTTGTTCAAGCTCTCGACCTGGGACTACATGTCATGTGCGAGAAGCCCATTTCTGTAGACGTCGTCACCACCGCTACCGTGATCGAAAAGGCCCAGTCCCGACCAGATCTCAAGTTCCTTGTCCCATTTACTCGCCGATGTATGTTTTCAACTCCTCAAGCGAATGAATTTCCTACCAGCAAAAGAACAAAGCTCATCATGATTTAGATGATAGGTCTTATCGTGAGGCTAAGGCGCTCATTGACGGCGGCGAGCTCGGTGAGATTCACGCGGTTGAGACCTGGATGAGCGATGTACAAGATCCAGCGGGTAAGTGAACGCACGTGCGTTAGGTGCTCTGTGCCGTAGGCTCACTGTTACAGGTCATTTCGTTGCATTCGCTGCGCATTCTGGCGGCATTTTTCTTGACATGGGCATTCATCATGTGAGTCGCCCCCTTGGTTCAAGTGATCACGGCTAAACGTCACGCAGATCGACACTGGACGGTATCTTTTGGACGTAAAGTCCGGCCTCGCAAACCCGAAGAAGCAAGTCAAGCGGGTAACAGCTATCGGCCAACGAGCGGTCTACACTGATCTTGCCGCGTTTGGAGACGCCGATAATGCCTGGGGCTTCGTTGAGTTCACCAACGGCAAGGTCTGGACGACACACCTCGCTAGGACGACGACAGACGGGTTCGAGGACTCAACGCGCGTGTGCGGTACCAAAGGACACGGTATCGTCAGCACTGCTAGTAACGTCGAGATCCGAGACAAGCATGGCGTTCGCAAGCAGACCGTGCCTGACGCCTTCCAGCTCTTTCCTGAGACGTTTCTGACAGATATCACTGAGTTCGCTAATGCGGTTCTTTTTAATAAGCCTTTGACTTGCCTTGCGGAAGATGCTTTCGAGGCAGGTAAGATTTGCACTGCTCTTCAGCATTCTTATCGCACTGGGCAGTCGGTATATTTCAACGATGAAGGATTCCCGATCCTCGATAATGGTATACTTACTCCTTAGCTCTTGACAATATAAACTGTGCACTACTATCTCTTCTCTTTTCCTTTCTCCTTCAGCAGAGGTAAGCACTCATTTTAGCGTAATCTGATTAGAAAACCCATGTACCATACTCGCTCTTGGTCCCTTGCTACACGATCTGTCTTCAACAACATCTGCCTAAACCTACTCGGAGAGTGAAGAAGAAGAAGAAGAAGAGGAAGAGGAAGAGGAAGAGTTCATTGCATTACAAGCAAACAGAGTTCGCAACAAGCAAGTTAAGCAAGTTTTGAGACTCAACTTGACTTGCTTGGGACGATTTTGCGGTAGTAACGAAACTTGCTTGACTTGGAAGCGATATTAGCACAACTTGGTCGGTAAACTTCCATAACTTGGGTAACTTAGGTAATTATTATAGTTAACATACATGCAGATTACTGCGGGTGCGCCTCCCAGTTGCACAGATCATACTCTCCCTCCAGCAGCATCTCAGAACGCGTTGCCTCTAGTTTCTCGACGATCCCTAGGGTTGGACGTTCGAATCCAGCGCGTGTCCAAGCTCGAATGCACTGCAGTGTAGCCAGTAATTGAGCTCCTGTTTTGCGTCTCTTTGGCTCTAATAGATCACCGAGCTCGCTGAACAATCGCTCGCACTCGCAGCTGCTAGCAGGTATCGTTAGAACATCAAACGCCAGCCTAGCTAAGTTGGGATACTTTGGTTGTAGTTCACACAGTGGTCAACAAGCAAATAATTTGCAAATATTTGTGAGTATTATTTGCCAAGCCAAATACAAACACAAACAAAATACGCTGTTCAAGACTAGCAAACAAACAAATATGAACATTACTAAATATTTGAACTATTTGTTATATTTGGTACCTAAGCGCAAGAATTTGAAGTTGTGCGGCTTGCTGCAAAGTTCATCTCACGAGATATTTTTGGTGTTGCAGCTAGCTTTCAAGCTAACTTGCTTAGCGTAATTACTAGGTTCCCCTATCATGAGGGTGCGCTTGATAATCTATCTTGTGTCACGGCGCTGACCTAGATAGCCTATTAGAACGCGCCAAGCTGCTAAGCGAGCAGCTGCGCGATCGCTGAAATTCCTGCGCGAACGCGCCCTGTCGTACGCTCCTTGAGCTACGTCCTTGTCTTAGCCTGACCCCGTACTGTCAGCGATATCGTAGTGAATATACTGATCACGTGCACCTATCTTCCCTGCCTGCCGACCCCGTGACATGATGGAGCAAACTGATGGATTGAAGTAGTACTATCTATTCTCCATTCCTACTACTACTGTCCGCCAGCGACTCTTCAAAGAGAGGTCCATAGTCGTCGTCAACGAACCCAAAGAGGGAAGGGAGATAGTCGTCGTTCTCCTCTGCCGTCTCACTAATAACCTGAGACCCTCTTACATCCTGTTTATGGCTGCCTATCGTAATTAAACTGTTTCTTCCCCAGTTCGCCAGGCATGTGACTGCCTCCAGGGCATCTTCAGTGAGTCTGTTTCTACGCGGAGAAAAAGTAACACCAGCTAAACTGAATATCCTCTCTGGCTCCGCGCTCATAGCTGGGATCGAGAGGAGGTCAATCGCCATGCGAGAGAGCTTAGGGTACTGCACCTTAACAGATGGTCGCATCCAGTACTTGAACGGGACGATCGATAAGTCGGTCTCCCGCCGATCAGTAAGATAGGCATCTAGTTCATTTTGAACGAGGGATGGGATAGGCCACTTTCGGGTATCCTCGAGCTGCTCATCAATCCTTCGGTACTTTGGCTTCTTACGCCATTGTAGCAATGGATATATCAAAATAGGTTACTAATGGAGATAGTGATGATGATGTTGATAGGAACTAGCATACGATTGATGGAGTGACGTTAGAAGCTTGTAAGGGTGCGATGGGTTGACCATAAGTGCAAGGTATAACAGTAATGAATTCGATAGAGAAGCTACACTACGCTTGCGCTGAGTCTATGTATCACGTAGTGCTAGGTTCGAGAAACTTCTAAGGGTCCGTGGGGCGCCGATGAAGCCCCGACAACGCTCCGAGGGTTGCAGCCTATCCCAACCAGCTATAACGAAGGCCACAGGCCAAGTACTACTAACCAAGGCTTCAGCCTCTTACAGTACCCCCCTTCTTAGGCTTAGATCCCTCCTGTGCGGCGTGTTTCTAATCTTTGAGAGCATTAGTCTCTTTTAGATTTACGGCTAGTTCCCAAGTTAGATCAGGATAGCCTTCCTATTTTACCAGGTACTGCTTTCTGTGCCCCTAGCCTCTCTCCTCCAGGATCTCCTCTACCAGATACATCTCTTCTCCATCCACCTCAATAGGCTCTGGCTCGTTATCATCTTGTAGCTAACTAGGTAACGAGTCCGATAAAGCGAGCCTTAGCATGTTGACGTTGAATACTAGATGAACTCGTCTAGGAGTGTTTAGCTTGACTGCGCTTAGTCCTACAATCTTAAGTACCGTATACTTCAAGTTCTTCTAGTTAAGTTTTCTGCTTGGCCTCTTAGTCTTAAAGTAGTCGCCTAGCTTTAACTATACTTTGTCACTAACTCGGAATTAAGGAGCTTGTTTCCGTCTCTTGTTAGCCTGCAGTTCTTAGTCTTATTAGGCCTCTCCTATGATCGCTTAAGCTAGCTAAATGCTCTGCCTTAATCTTTCTACGATGTTCTCAGCCTTTTTATGCTCGTCTTGCACTCTCTTTCCCTTGGGCTTGTTTTCTAGGCCGTACTTAATAGCAATCTAAACAGGGTCCACTTCGTATCCGTGCTGCATAAAGAATAGTAACATCCTTGTAGACCGCGCTTCCCTTGCTGTAATTGCGATTTTAGCTATTCCTAGGTTAGATTTCCAATTACTCTAATTCCAGTCGCAGAAAGCGCGGAGGTAGGCTTGTACCGTCGCGTTCATTCTCTCCGTAGATCCATCGGTCTCTAGGTAGTATCCTAACGATAGTCTTCGCTTAATACTTATTAGTTCACAAAGCCTAGCCTACATGTAGCTTACAAACTGTAAGCCTCAGTCTGAAGTAATGTAGTCTGGTAGCTAGTAGTATACAACGACGTAATTTATGTACGCCTTAGCTACACTCTCTGTCGTAATGTCTGCTAAGCCTATAAGTACTACGTCCTTACTAAGGCAGTCTATTACTACTATTAGGTTAGTACAGCCCTCACTTTTAGGCAAGCTAGTTATAAAGTCTATAGAGACTTCCTTCTAGATGCGTTCAGGAATTAGTAAAGGCCGTAGTAGCCCTTAGAGGCCATCTCTCTAAGGCTTTACTCGTCCGTAAACAGAACAGTTCCGTACATACTAGCGAACTAAGTTGCTTAATAAAGGCCAGAAATACTCCTGTACAACAGCTTGGTATGTAAGGTTTCTTCCTAGGTGTCCTAAGGCCCTTAAAGAGTGCATTTTGTGTATAATGCCAGTCCTTAGAGGTTCACTGTCTAGTACCCATTTTCGATCTTAATATAATAGGTTACTAGAGTCGTCTAAGCGACACTCTGAGATTAATAGCTTAAGGTCTAAAGCTGTTAGAAACTTGCGTTCACCGTCCCTAACCGCTTTCTAGGCCAATTAGTACACCTAATCTTTTTCCCTAGCTTCCTCCTATAGTTACTCTAACCTGTGTTAAGCTAGTAGGGTTAGAGGTGCAGACACTAGGTAGGAGAAAACTGTCGGTCTCTCAACACTACACCAAAAGATCTTTAGTGCTTCGTCGTTAGCTAGGTCTTTGTCTATCGTAGCAGTAGCGGGTTTAAAGACCTGCAGGAAACGTTAAGAGATCCGTGCATCTAAACCATTAGCTGGCATATCCTAATGTCTTCTTAAAAGAGCATTAGCTCTAACATTGTCAGCTCCAGGCTAGTAGGCGATCTCTATGTTTAGGAACTTTCTGAGAAACTAGGCCTATCTCATTTAGCGTTCGCTGAGCTGCTAAGGCTTCCCAAAGTACTCTAGGTTCTTGTGGTTAGTAATTACCGTGAACTTCTTTAAAGACCTCAGCATTCCGTCCTATTTAGCTATGCAGCAGATTACTACAAGCAATTCTTTATCGTGGATTTCGTAATTGCTCTAAGCGCTAGTTATCTTTTTTAAGTAGTAGGCGACTAGTCGTAGCAGCCCTTAGTCGTCGTACTAAGATAGTACTCTAGCAACTACGTAACCAGACGAGTTAGTCTCTAAGATAGTCTCTCGATCTAGGTCCTATTAAGCAAGTACTAGTTCGGTAATAAAGATCTCTTTTAGCTTGTCAAACGCCTGTTACTCTACTTCTCCCTATTAGAAGGTAACATCTCTAGTTAACCTTGTAAGTAGAGCTGCTATCTCTAAGTAGTTCTTAATAAAACGTTAGTAGAAGTTCGCAAATCCTAGAAAGCTACGCACTCCCTTTACGTTCACTAGGGGTTCCTATTCCTTAATAGCCTTAACCTTGTTAGGATCTATTTTTAGTCCTTTGCTAGCTTTAATCACAAACCTAAGGTACTTTGTACATTTAACGTTGAACTCGCATTTCTTGATATCCAAAGGTAAACCAGCTTTGCCCATGGCCTTAAGGACCTTGTTTGTGTTTTGCTAGTGCTCCTTTAGGGTACCGTTAGTGTAGATTAAGACATTATCTAGGTAGGCTAAGCAGAAGTCGTTAATGTACTCACGAAGCGTCCAGTTAATATACCGCTAAAAGGTACTAGGTGCATTTGCTATACTAAAAGGGGTAACTAGCTACTCGTACAATCCAAATTAGGTGCAGAAGGCTGTCTTCCATTCGTCTCCCGCGTTAATCCTTATCCTGTAAAAAGCAGCTAATACATTAATCTTTGTAAACTATTTTGCTTTAGCGATGTTGTTAAAGGTCTCCTAGATTAGAGGTAACGGGTATTAGTCCTTCTTAGTGATTGCGTTAAGAGCTCTATAGTCTACGCAGAAGCGTAGCCCTCCTCCTAGCTTCTTTGCGAATAACACTAGAGAGGCAGCTAGGGAGCTGCTTGCTCTAATCTATCCCTTGTTGAGGAGA